AATAAAAGGGCTGGGGACATAGCTCAGTGAAAATGCCTTGTGTTCATACCCAGTGCTGCAAAATAATATAATAGAATATAAAAATGAATAAAATATAAATTTTTTAAAAGCTTAGTGCAAAGGCAGTACTGAGCAGTAGCTCCCCGCAAAAAAGATTCATCTTAAACTGTGTGTGGTGGTGGCACATGGCTATATTCCTAGTTTCTCAGCAGTCTGAGGAAAGAGGATTGCTTGAGTTCGGGAGTTCAAGGCTAGCCTGGGCAACATGGTGAGGAAACAATAAAAGCATAGACCACAAGTATGTGTGAGGCCCTAGGTTCAATCCCGGGACCACAAAACAGTAACAAAGCAAACAAAAAAAAAGGTTAAATTTAAAAAAAAAAATCTAACTAAGAGGAGCAATATATGATTGTATAAGTACACACTTCTACAATTTTCATTATTCAATACATACTCACTGTTAGCAATTCAAACCCAACACAAAGTCTAAATGCCAAATCTCTTTTTTGCTTAGTAAAGTCTGTGTTAGGAAAACAGTTGTGTGTTTTTTGACAGCTCTAGAGTTTCAACATCTAGTGATGTAGAATTTTTCCCCACCACCATCAAGAAGAATAAGGAAGAGGAGGAGAGAGGCAGGGAGAGAAGGAGAGACAGAGAAAGAAAGAACTTGGCTTTCTAAGTAGCTAAGAAACACATTTTCCCCTGGTATGAGAAAGAACTCTGTTTCTGAAGGTCAATAATTTCTTTCCTTTTTTTTTTTTTTTTTGAGACGGTCTTACTTTGTAGTTCAGGCTGGCCTCAAACTCACTATGTAGTACAGGCTGGCCTCAAAGTTGAGGAGATCCTCTTGCCTCAGCCTCCCCTGTGCTGGGATCACAGGCGTGCACCACTACACCTGGCTCAGGTCAGTGATTTCTAACCCAGCATTCTATACCCAGTCAAATTATGAAGAATGAGGACAGAATAAAAACATTCCCAAATGAGCAAGGTACCCAAAATTTCTCCTGTATGTCCCTTGCTCGGGAAGTGAGTGGAGCCTGAGGGAGAAAACCATGCATAAAGACCCAGAGAATCTAGGGGACACGGGTCCAGGCGAGGAAAGAAGCAAAACCATCAGCCAGGGCCTCGCTGCCCAGGGGATCCAGACTGGAACCAGTAGACAAACACAGAATGGCAGGGCCAAGGATGTCCCTCAGGAGAAAAGGAAAGAAAAAGAAATTGACATGATTTTCTAATCTAGTGAGAGAAGATTTCCATTTGTTTCAGAGATTTTTGGATCAACTGGTGATAAGCACATAGGCAACTAAGTTAAGCCAATTTGTGGAACAGATGGCCCCATGGGGTGTAGGCAGAAAACAAGTTTATTCTTGGATACAAAGTTTATTCTTTGTTCTTCGCATGTTCAGTTTGTCTTCAAGTCAGTTCTTCCCCACACTTTTGAAGTCTAGGGCAAGTCTCATGGATTCCAAGCCACTCTCAGGTAATAAAGCTCTGTGTCACTTAAAATTAGCAAACGGTCTTAATTCAGACATTAAAAAATCCCCTTCTGTGCATTAAGCTAAACCTTATGAAACTACCTTTTTTATTTTTATTTTTTGGTGTTACTGGGGATTGAACCCAGGACCTTGGCTGCTGACCTACATTCCCCAACCCTTCTTTTATTATTTATTTATTATTTATTGGTACTGGGGATCAAACTCTGGACCTTGAGCTTTCCAGGCAGGTCATTTTTTTTTTTTTTTTTTTTCCGGTACCGGGGATCGAACTCGGGACCTTGCGCTCGGGAGGCAGGAAGGCAGGCGGTGGAACCACTGAGCTAAATCCCCCGCCTATTTTTTTATTTTGAGACAAAGTCTTGCTAGGTTGCCCAGACAAGGCTTGAACTTGTAATCCTCCTGCCCCAGCCTCCCAGAGTGCTGGCCTCACAGGCGAGCACCACTATGCCTGCCTGAAATTGCCACTTTTGTGAGTCATAAATGGTTGGCACTTTCATTTGATTCACTGTAATAAAAGTCAAAACTTCCGAATTTGCTGAAGTGAAGTCATCTTTCCATCACTCAGGCCTGCTTTGGGTTGGCAGTCGGCGGCCCCTCCACCCCTCAGGGGAGGGTTGGGAGAGAAGGGGCTGAGGCGCAGGGAAAAGAGGAGAGCGGCGCTATTTGAGACTGGCGGGCGCTGACTACGGCCACGCCCTCTCCCAGCTGCTGGGAGTTGGTGACCTCTCCGAGGCCTGGCTCCACCCCACCCCACCCTGCTCGCCCTGGGCCACTCAGCCTCGGGCCCCAAGTGGCCTCCCACCTTTCTCAGTCCTGCCCTTGGCCCCCAGGCATTTGTTCCCGATGACATCACCTCCAACCACTGGGCAAGGCCCTTAGCCTAGGTCCGGCTGTTCCTCCGTTCTGGCCTCAGGGCACTGGCTTCAGCCTGAGCACACCTTCCCCTTCGCTGTGCCCCTCACAGAGCAGCGCACAGCCATCGTCCACTTCCTTTGCGCTTGGCAGTGCGAAGGACGTGTGTGTGTCGGAGAGGATGGGAAGAAGACAGCCAGACGGAATTCTCCTGTCGCATAGGAGTTAAAGAGAAGGTCTGAAATATACGCATGTCATTTAGACGCGGAAGGAAACTGCCAGAAGGGAGAGTGCAAAATGAGTGGGTGCATGTTGTTTTTCATGACACTTAAAAAATAAAATAAAATTAAAAACTATTTGACTCTTTAAAAATGAACACATAATACTTTTAAAAATTGCATTTAGGGCCGGGGATTTAGCTCAGTGGTTTTGTCGCCTGCTGCGCAAGCGCAAGGACCCGAGTTCGATCCCCGGTACCAAAAAAAAAAAAAAAAAAAAATTGCATTTAGGTAGAGGGAGGGGAGGGGCAGGAGATATAAAAAGTATTAAGATGTGTTATGCACACGTTGAAACTCCCCACAATGAATGTAATCAGTATGTACTGCAAAAATGTACTAATAAAAATTTGAAAGATAAAAAGATTATCCACTCAAAAAATAAATTTGATTTAAAGTCAGGCATAGAGGCACACGCCTGTAATCAGAGCACTTGGGAGGCTGAGGCAGGAGGATTGCAAGTTTGAGGTCACCCTGGATTACATAAAGAGTTCAAACACAGGCTGCTGCTGCTTCCTCTTCCTGTTCCTCTTCTTCTCTTTCTCTTTCTTCTCCTTCTGAGAGAGAGAGACAGAGACAGAGACACAGGGAGAGAATTTAATTTAAACTACAGGGGTGGTGCATACTGTAATCTCAGGTACCACAGAGGGTGCGGCAGGAAGAAGAGTAGCTTTAGGCCAATTGGGCAATTTAGCAAGACCTTGTGTCAAAAAAATTTTTTTTTTAAATTACTGATATGTGGTAAAAACAAAAATAAAGGGCCAGAGGTTTAGCTCAGTGGTGCCAGTGCCTGCCTGGGAAGCGCAAGGTCCTGAGTTTGATCCCATGTTCTGCAATAAATAAATAAATAAATAAATAAATAAATAAATAAAATAAAAACAAAGCTATGTGGTAACTGGTTGAGGTGGCACGTTCCTGGAATCCCAGCACTCTGGGAGGTTGAAGCAGGAGGATCACCAGTTCAAGCCCAGCCTGGGCAATTTAGTGAGACTCTGTCTCAAAAATAAAAAAGAGCTGAGGTTGTAGCTCAGTGCAAAGGCCCTGGGTGCAGTCTCCAGTACCTCAAAAACAAACACACAGAAATGGCTATGTGCAGGGCCGGAGATTTAGCTCAGTGGTTTCCCTGCCTGCCGTGCAAGCACAAGTACCGAAGTTCGATCCCCGGTACCGAAAAGAAAAAAGAAATGGCTATGTGGCAAAACATAGACATTATCTAGGGAGTAGGCAGTATTTGGATATAACACAAGCCCTTGTGTTCATAGTGAGAAAGGTTCTGCAGAAAGCCAAATGCTGTTTTGTGTGATCAAACAGCTTCCTTACGATTACAGTGAAAATGAGTCCTTTTAGCCCTCTGTCTCTAGTATCATCAAAATTCACCCTCTTGTCTCCAAATAGCCTTGAGATAAGCAATGTAGTCTTCCACAGCAGCATTTAAACTTACATTGTGAGGCAGTTGTTTTTCTCTTTGGGTTACTCGGTATTGAATTTGGGAAATAACCAGGTTAGCGAACCCATCAGGGGCTCCCTGGTTGACCTAGGACTCAGGATATTCACTTCTCACCTCACTTCCCAGAGAGCCCTGACATCGCTGTACAAAATCCTACCCGGCTTTTATGGGCCAGCGGGTGAGAAAAAAAGACATGGTCTTCATGTAACCTCCCTGAAAGCTACAGCCTCTCTGTCTTGTTCACCTCAGTCTTAGTGCCTGACACAAAATTAATGTTAATTCAAAATCTGAATATCTAGCTAGGCATGGTGCCCACACCTGTGGTCCCAGCACTCTGGGAGGCTGAGGCAGAAAGATTCCAAGTTTGAGCTCAGCTTAGACAATTTAGTGACTTAGCAAGTCTTTGTCTTTTTTTTTCATTAAATAAATTTATTTGTTAAAATAATTTAACTCCAGGGGCCGGAATTTAGCTCAGTGGCACCAAGCCTGCCTTGAAAGAAAAAAAAAAAAGAATTCTGGATAAAATAATTTAACTCCAAATACAACTGTTGAATTTGCATTGAGTTATAACTACAATTCATGTTCAGATTCTGTCTTAAAGCAAAACAAAGCAAAACCACACAAGGGCTGGTGATGCAGCTCAGTACAAAGGCCCTGGGTTTAATTCCCAGCTCCTCCATTCTAAATATCTATTGGTTGACTAAAATTTTTTTTTTTGGTACTGGGGATCAAACTCAGGACCTTGCGCTTGCGAAGCAGGTGCAGTGCCACTGAGCTAAATCCTGGGCCTTGGTTGACTAAAATCAACAAGTAACTAGCTCCCTGCTTTCTCAAAGTCTATAACCATGTGTTAGTTACATTTCTTGTTGCTGAGACAAAATACTGAATGCCCAAAGTTACAGGAGGAAAGGTTTATTTGGGTTACAGTTTGTGGAGGTTTCAGTTCATAGTTGGCTGGCTTCAAGGCAGGATGGCATGGCAGAGGGGCCCTGCAGAGGAGAAACAGTCCACAGTAAGCAGGCAGGCGAGAACAAGCAAGAGACCTTAGCAGCTTCTTTCTGCCCCTTTTATATTCTATCTAGGCTATGAGGATTAGGGCGGTGCCCAAACAATCAGCAGACTGATTTAGTACTTACACATCCTTGTTTTTGTTTTTTGTTTGGTACTGGGGATCAAACTCGGGACCTTGAGCTTTTGAGGCAGGCGGGCAGAATCACTGAGCTAAATCCCTGGTCCTGCACATCCTTAATCCCAGCGTCACATGCTCTAGATCCAGCCACCTCTGAAAAAGCCCCACCTATGACTGCATGAAGCTTTGGGGGGACATCTAGACACAGCCATAACAAATCATTAGAAAAAAATTATACCTGGGCCGGGTATAAAAATAAATAAATAAATAAAATTATACCTATAGTTCATAGATCTATGAAAAATCAACAGGTTCAATAGTCCATAGGAAAGGATACCTCAGGGCTGGGGTACAGCTCAGTGGTAGTCATGCTTAGTATGTATGAGGCCCTGGGTTCCATCCATAGCAGAGAGGAAGAGAGAGAGAGAGGGAGCGAGAGAGAGAGAGAGAGAGAGAGAGAGGCCTACTGAATGTTTTGGGAAGCAGTCAATTAAAATATAGGATGGTATGGGGCCGGGGATTTAGCTCAGTGGCACTGTGCCTGCCTCGAAAGTGCAAGGTCCCGAGTTCGATCCCCGGTACCAAAAAAAAAAAAAAAAAAAGGATGGCACAGCAGCCTGAAATAAGCCTGAAATCCCAACCACTAAGGAGGCTGAGACAGGAGGATCTCAAGTTCAAACCCCAACTGGGCAATTTAGCAAGTTGGCAAGACTCCATCTCAAAAGTAAAAAATAAAAAAGGGCTAAAGGTGTAGCTCAGTATAAAGGCCCTAGATTCAATCTCCAGTACCATACACACACACACAAAAGGTGTAAGTATGATGGAAAGAATTAACACTAAATGTTGCCCAGGCTGGCTGGCCTAGAACTTATGATCCTCCTGCTCCATCCTCCTGAGTAGTTGGGAGTACAGGTGGGTGCTACCATATCCAGTTTAAACACCAAATATTAAATGAATGGGTTAATTTTGCTTTTTAAAACTACCAGCAGGCAGGCGTAGGAGCATCTCTAATCCCAGCTACTCAGGAAGCTAAGGCAGGAAGATCACACGTTCAAGGCCAGGGTGGGCAATTTAGCAAGACCCTGTCTCAAAATTTAAAAAAATTTTTTTTGGTGCCAGGGATCAAAGGACCTTGTGCTTTCGAGGCAGGCACTGTGCCACTAAGCTAAATCCCCAGCCCTCAAAATAAAAATTTTTAAGAATGGCCTGGGATTTAGCTCAGTGGTATACTGTTTGCCTATAAGGCCCTGAGTTCAATCTCAGCACCACAAAAAACAAAAACAATAACCAAAGAAACCTCAAAACAAATAAACAAAAAACCTACCACCCTTCAGGTGAAGATATTTTCTTAAAAAAATAAAGCATTGATTGTACTGGGGATTAAAGCCAGGACCTTCACACTGAACTATATCCCTAACCCTTTTTCATTTTTTAAAAATTTGAGACAGGGCCTCATTGAGTTCCTAAATTGCACAGTGGGGGCCTAAACTTGCAATCCTCCTGCCGCAGGCCTGCACCATCATACCTGGCTCATTTTACTTTTGAGTCGGTAGTTGTGCATGAACATTTAGAAGACTATGAAGAGGTGTTTGTCATGATTTGGATGTGGTTTGCGTGTGTCTCCCACGGCTTCATGTGTCGGGAGTTTGTCCCCAGTGCTCAGTAGAAGGCCTAGTGGAGTCTACAAGAGGTGTGGCCTAGTGGGGGATATTTGGGTTTCTGGGGGTTCTGCCCTTGGAAGGAATGAAGTGAGTTCTATGGGGACTTGTTCGTCTTCAGGAGAGGGTTATAAGCAAGCCCAGGTCCCACGGAGCTCCTGCGCCCTGTATCGGGATGCGATCACTTCCTCTTGCACATACTTGTGTTCTCACCAGAGCTGGCGCTCTGCTCTTTGGATGTGAGCCTCCAAAACTGTAAGCCAGTAAACCTCTTTCCTTCTAAAGTTAGCATGCCTCAGGCATTTTTTGAGATGCAGCAGAAAATAAATTAAGAGAGATTACAGTGTCTCAACTTCTGTTCCTGGGAATGGGATGTACGTCAGTAGTGGAGCCCTTGCCTCACATACACGAGTCCCCGGATTTGATCCCTAGCAACACACACACACACACACACACACACACACACACACACACAATCTCCTTCCTACCTCATCCCCCATCTCCAGAGACAAATATTATCACTTTTTGGTAGTATCCCGTATCTCTGAGATTTAACATTTCTCTGTTCATTAACAAATGGGTTCTGTAGCTGCTACAATTTTGTTTTGGATTTTTCCTCTCCATCAGTCTGATTAGAAGCTTATCAATTTTATTGAACCCCTTCCCCCAGAAAAAGCTTTTACTTTCACAGATTTTCTCTACTATTCTACTGTTTTGTTTTGTTTTGAGACTGGTTGTCTTTATTGTCCAGGCTGGCCTTGAACTCATGGGCTCCAGTGATCCTCCTGCCTCAGCCTCCTGGGTAACTGCAACTACAAGCAATGGACACTTCAACTTGTTTTACTGCTTTTATTTTATTTATTTTATTTTTTTTGGTACCAGGGATCAAACTTGGGTCCTTGCACTTGAGCAGCAGGCAGCGAAGCCACTGAGCTAAATCCCCACCCCTTTACTGCTTTTAATATCCATTCTGACCTTTGTTATTCCTTTCCTTCTGTTTGCTTTAGATTTAATCTGATCTTCTTTTTCTAGTTTCTGTTTTTTAAATTTTTTGTGCTCAGGCCCAACCCAGGGTTCACACTTGCTAAGCAAGCACTCTACCACTAAGTAAATCCCCAACCCCTTTTTCTAATTTCTTAAGACAGAAAGTTAGGATACTGATTTGAAACTTGTTTCTAACATAAACAGTTAATGCTATAACTTTCCCTCAAAGTATTGCTTTAGTTGCACCCCCAGATTTTTGGTATGTCAAAATTTTATTTTAATTCAGTTCACAATACTTTTAATTTTCTCAACTCTGTGAGAAAGACATTTATCAACCAGAGTATACTGTTTATATATAGTCCTTTTTGCCTGTATCCTTACTGTATTCAGTCAAAACATCATTTTCTGGGTGGGGATTTAGCTCCGTGGTATAGTGCCTGCCTTGCAAGTGCGAAGTCCCAAGTTCAGTCCCGGTACCAAAAACAAAAACACATCATTTTCTTTCTTTTTTTTTTTGGTACTGGGGATTGAACTCGGGACCTTGCACCTACAAGGCAGGCACTGGAACCACTGAGCTAAATCCCCAGCCCTAAAAACATATCATTTGCTAAAGTTAATTAGGTAAGTTCCTTTTTTCCCCTTACTCATCAGTGAATTCATTTGTTACACTGCATCTTCTTTCCATCCTGGAATCTTTGTACAGCCTTATTAATTTTTATTTGTATTTTATTTTCATTTATTTGTTTGTTTGTTTATATGCTTATTCTAAGACAGGGTCTGGGCATGTAGTCCAGGCTGACCTTGAACTCACTATGTAGCCCAGGCTGGCCTTAAACTCACAGTGATCCTCCTGCCTCAGTCTCCTAAGTGCTGGGATTAAGGTATGCACCTGTAATCCCACACTATACCTGGCCTGGTTGATTTTTAAACACTTACATACCAGAAAGTTTATTCCCTAAGGACTTTGAAATATGCAGAGTCCATATCTCCCACTTTAATAGCATACGGGACATCGTTCAATCTTCTAAACGCCTGAAATGTCTCTGTGTAGTCTCGCTGAAGGCCATTACCTCTCCTTTCTCCAACTGCTGATCTGTTTTCTATCCCTATAATTTTGCTTTTTTCAAAATGTCATAGAAATGGAGGCAAATAATATGTAGGCTTTTGGTCTAGTTTTATCACTTAGAGACAAAGTTCATCCCTGTTGTTTCGATGAACATAGCTCCTATCTCTTATTCTTTCTTTCTTTCTTTTTTTTTTGGTACTGGGGATCGAACCCAGGACCTTGCATTTGTGAGGCAGGTGTGGTGCCACTGAGCTAAATCCCTCCTGTTCCTTATTATTGCTGAGAAGTCATCCATTTTCTGGAGGGACCACAGTTTGTTTACCTACTCACCTGGTGAAGGACATTTTGGTTGTTCTAGGCTTTGGCTACTAAAAAACATTAATGTAAGGGTTCCTTGTAAACACATTTTTTTTTGGTACCAGGGATCGAACTCCGGTCCTTGCACATTCAGGGCAGACAGCAGCACCACTGAGCTAAATCCCTGGCCCTGTAAACACATTTTTAATTTACTTATGTAAATACCTAAGAGTAGGATTGCTGGGTGGTACGGCAAATGTATGTTTAACTGTATAGCTGGGCATGGTGGTGCAGGTCAGTGATCCCAGCACTCCAGAGGCTGAGGCAGGAGGATCGCTGTAAGTTCCAGGCCAGCTGGGGCTACAGAGAGAGACCGTGTCTCAAAAAACTTATTTTTTAAGATATCACCCAACTGTCTTACCAAATGGTTGTACCATTTTACATTCTGATCAGCAGTACATAAAAGTTCCTTTTGCTCCGAGTTCTTCCTCTTTTTTTTTTTTTTTTTAGACAGGGTCTCGCTATGTAGTTCAGGCTGGCTTTGTAGCCCAGGCTGGCCTTGAACTTGCAGCAATCCTCCTGCCTCAGCCTTCTAAATGCTGAGATTACAGGTGTGTTTTACATTTCCCTAACGACATCTTCTCATATACTTATTTGCCAACCATATACATCCTTATAAACTTCTTTGACAGTATCTCAGTTCAGATCTTTTGCTCTTTTTTCTCCCTTTCTTGGGTCGTTTTCTTATTGGAGTTTTAAGAGAGTTTTTAATATGTTCCAGATACAAGTTCTTTATCAGATATGTGCTTCAGAAATATTCTCTGCAACCTATGGTTTGCTTTTTCATCTTCTTTA